CCTAGGGGTATTTTAAATTGGTTTTAACTAAATTTTAGTAGAAGCGGCCTATTTAAATATTTATTTTTAATCATTTTCTTAAATTTTGTATTGTATTGTATTAGTTGTTTTTAAACTGGCTGTAAGCCGCCCTGAGTCCTCCGGGAGAAGGGCGGGGTATAAATATAATAAAATTCAAATTCAAATTCAAATTCAAATTACTAACTTAATAACTGCAGTTATTTACTTAACAATTGTGGCAAGAAAGGTCATAAAATGGGGCAAAACTCACTTAGGAACAGAAATTTTGCACTCAATTGTGGTCGTACGTTGAGGACTACCTGCACTGTAAAAGTATACAGTTAATAAAAGAAGATAACACTTATTCCAGACATTAAATTCCCCTACCCAGCGAATGTTAAAAATCACCCTGAGTTCTTAGTCTATAAGGAAAATATCACTAAGAATAATTGTAAGTTTCTATCCAGAAGATTTTGTTCCCTAACTCATAATACTTCTGCCTACTTACTATTAAGCCCAAAATTTTGATTATCAAGCCTTTGTGATGGTATGTTATACTTTACAATTATTGATTCATTTGAAAACACTACTTCTTTGATAATTTATGATGAAGTGGGGTAGAGAACTAACATGTTGAGTGAAACACTGAGCCATGTAAATTAATGGTAAATGTGTTCTACTATTAAGAGCTGGAGATGCTTATTTACTTCCATGTTATAATCAGATTCCAATCAGTGACTGGATTCATACAATGCAAAGTAAATGCATGGTTTGTACAGTGTGTGAATGTATCACTGTAGTTTTCAAGCAGTGGTTTATGCTTAAGTCGTGCCCTCCCTTTATATTCCAGCAAGTATTCAAGTTGGTCAACAAAATCAAATGAAACACAATTAACAATATAGATAATAGTGTAATGCCCATAGATAGAATGAAACATAAACCAGGCTTTTATGGATCATTCAGCAAACAGCAGCTAAACAAATTATGGCTTCATGTCAAACCCAGAGCTTTTTTAAAAATAAAATTGAAGGGTGAACATATTTGTAGCTTTTGTGAAGTTAAAGAACAATTAGGGAGTTTAACACTGTCTATTTGTCTGATGTAAAAACTCCTTTGGAAAGACATGGTTCTGGATTTATAACAGAATATGCATGTTTTGGTTTATATTCTATTGCTAGAAAAACAAGCCACTGACTTGCCTATTTGGTGGCGGAAGCTAATGTAACATAAACATTGAAGTTTTGGTTACATTGCATATCTTGTTTGGAAATGCTCCTCCCATATATTCTGGTTTATTCCTGATTTTTTAAAAAACTAATGTATTGGTAATCAGTTGCAATTTAATACTGGATATTCAAATTATCTTTAACATTGTTATATTCTTGACTATTTGTGAAATGTCAATGTGTATTTCACACATGTAAATCATGTACTTTTAACTGAAATATAGCTTGCGTTGTAAAGAGAAGCTACATCTTTTCTACACTCAAACTTCCCTGAGGGAAACCTTAATTGATTACAAAAACTGTCCTGTTCATTGACCAACATTTCACAATCATAAGCCTATTTGGTAACTTTTATGTCCAGAACCTGTTCTATGTCACTGTGTTTTTCATTTACATACTTTCTGAACAACTGCTATCTCTAAAACTATTTGGTATTATTCTGCCTTTCCTTTAAGCTGTCCTTCTTGATCACTAACTTTTATTCTAACAGCTCAGTTCCCAGCATTGCCATCATGAGTCATGTTCCATCTCTGTTGTGGGTGTCCTTTTCTTACTGTCTTTTGCTTCAAAATCAAAGTGAAATCCAATTAATTTCTGGGAGTTTTTTTTTTAAAGGATCTACCGTATTTTCCGGCGTATAAGACGACTGGGCGTATAAGACGACCCCCAACTTTTCCAGTTAAAATATAGAGCTTGAGCGAGAGAGGGGGGGGGAGAGAAAACTTGATGAGTAATATGCCAAACCACATGTGTAAAGGAATAAAATAGAATACCCGTATTTTCCGGCGTATAAGACGACTGGGCGTATAAGACGACCCCCGACTTTTGAGAAGATTTTCAGGGTTTAGAAAGTCGTCTTATACGCCGGAAAATACGGTACTTCTCTTGTCGCAATCACCAACCCCCTTTGTTGTTTATACATTTTTCTTTAGTTTTCTGAGATAATATAGCTAAGAAGATCATGGTAAAACACTTAGGATTGTACATTTACTTCTTTACATTTAAAGAAAGAATGTTTTATTAAATAGCTAAAAATGGGCTATAAAGATGTTGATTTATATTACAGCATATCTGTAGTCTATCAATATTTACCTTCCCCAGCACTAATATTTTCATAACCCTATCTGCATGACACATAGAAGTTTTCCTAGGCAAGGGCTCTGGGTCTCCTTCCACTTACAGCTCCCAAATCCCTCTCTACTCAGTTCCTCCTCCCTCCAAATTGGGAGAAATTGCAATAATTTGCTTTGATTGATGGTTCCACTCATCACAAACTTCCCCAAATTTAACATCATTCACAACTGAATGATATGTGTAAGCCTTGAAAGTATTTTTGTTTTATTTTGCTTTTTTTACAACTTTTCAAGCTCTGCCACAATCATCATAGTTGATATAATAACTTTCAATGTTAGTAATACATCTGCATTGGTATCAAAATCTGATTTCGCTCGGAACTTTGTTTCTGTTCTCTGGGTTAACAGTATTTCTTTTCTCCTTATAGCTGCCAAGCCATCACCTGAAACTGCTCAAGAAACATATGACACTTCTACCTACAAGAACCTGCAGCACCATGAATATCAACCATTCACTTTTGTGGATTTTGATGTTTTGTTGTCAAAATTCAGGCTGCCTCAGCCATCTTCTGGGAGACTATCTCCAAGACACTGAACTATTTGTGGAAAACAAATAAATTCCGACAAAGTATTATGCTTGTGAGTGTTCTAAATTAATATTAGCATTAATTATTATAATTGCTGATTGTATGACCAATTAATTCTAATAATTAATGATAACTTGATAATTTCCTTAGTTCAAGCTACTGTGTAGTGTCATACCACACTGCTGCTAAANAGATTTGGGGAAGGGGAGGAAACAACATTCTATCTTTGCTATTTTCTCTTGTTTGAAGTATTAAGGGAACTTAAAACATTCAAAATTGTGATGACTGTGTGAAAATGTCTTCATAAAGGAAATGAAAATGTTGTCCCTACTTGCTAAAGCACAGCCTATAGACTTGTGATTGACCTGTTTTCAGACATTTCTTCTATCTGTACTTGCTCATAGCTTAATGTTGCTTTTTGTTTTTGGAACTTGCTGTTTATGTGGTACTTTTCACTCTTTTTCACGCCTTCTTGAACCTTGTGATACATACATAAATACAGAGAGATAGAGATACATAAATCAGTTCTGTAAGGAAGGAAGTTTACTTTGACCTTGTCTGTAGGTCAGCAAAGTTATCACTGTTAGTGATTTAATCATTATAATGCATGTTTGCGTCAGATGGTTTTCCTTTCTGCTCTCATTGCCTTCATCCTTTAATATTCTTAAAATATTCTCTTAATCTCAAAATACCCAAATAAATTCCTAAAGTGAATATCATGTTCTTCAAATTGTGAAAACCTCCCCCTGAAGCTTTCCCTGTCCAGATAATGTTCATTTTTCTATATTTTAAATTCTGTAGTATATATCAATATGATTTTTAACATCTATTATTTTCAATAATCCATCCATTTATAAATACAGAAAAAATAGTAGATACCAGTTGTAATATGAATTAACAAATAAAACTTGTAATTCAATATGCATGTCAAAGTGATAAATATCCTCAAAGATTTTGAAGTTTATTACCTAACCACCACCACCCAAATCTTCATTTTGAGTTCCAGAAGGGGGCAGCCTTGGAAAGATAATGGCAGAAAAGACATGGCCTGGCTCTCTTTTAGTTTAGCTTGGCTAGTCTAGAAAATTAGAACAGGAGATTAGAGAAGGTAAAATTTGTAATTTCTAAAGATGAGTATAAATAGTCTTTTAAAGTGTAATTGTATATAGATATAGCATTGATAATGTAACTAAAAGCCATAGATAAATATTACTAGGCCAACATTTCAGTGGAAAGGCTTAAACTATTACTAAATGTTGCTACAGAAATACCGTATATTGAACACTGAGGGGTACATATCCAATTATTCCCTGTATATTTACATTTATCTAAAATGTTTTAAACACTACTAACAGAAATCATTGGAAAAATATTCCATTTTACAGATAGTCCTCGACTTACAACAGTTCATTTAGTGACCATTCAAGGTTTACAATGGCACTGAAAAAAGTGACTTACAACCATTTTTCACACTTAAGTCTATTGCAGCAACCCCATGGTCATGTGATCAAAATTCAGATGGTTACAAAAGCTCATGGAATGAGCAGAGATGGCTAAATTGACTGTTTTGGTAAAAGAAAAGAACATATATACTTTTGTTTCTACTTGGAAACCGCTTCTAGACTTTGTGCTTGAGGTGGAAAAAAATGATACTATGATTTTGGATTTTACTGATTAGATTGCTTTGTTGATATAGAAATGGCGAGTTTATATCACTATAGAAACGTAAAAAGTTGAGATTCGATCTTAATATTTTATTTTACTGCAACAGAGGGAGTCGGAAGTCAACACCTTTTGTTTCTTCCCCTCCCCTTCTCCACACTTTTTCATCTTCCCTTTTCCTATTGTCGTCCCTTACTATTTGCTTTTGTAGTTTCATATTTTATGTTATAAATAAATAAAATTATTTTTTTAAAAAATTCAGAGGCTTGGCAACTGCCCCATATTTATGACATTTGCAATGTCCTGTGGCCATGTGATCCCATTTTGCGACCTTTTGACAAGCAAAGTCAACGGGGAAGCAAGATTACTAACTTAATAACTGCAGTTATTCACTTAACAATTGTGGCAAGAAAAGTCATAAAATGGGGCAAAACTCACTTAGCAACAGAAATTTTGCACTCAGTTGTGGTCGTACGTTGAGGACTACCTGCACTGTAAAAGTATACAGTTAATAAAAGAAGATAACACTCATTCCAGACATTAAATTCCCCTACCCAGCGAATGTTAAAAATCACCCTGAGTTCTTAGTCTATAAGGAAAATATCACTAAGAATAATTGTAAGTTTCTATCCAGAAGATTTTGTTCCCTAACTCATAATACTTCTGCCTACTTACTATTAAGCCCAAAATTTTGATTATCAAGCCTTTGTGATGGTATGTTATACTTTACAATTATTGATTCATTTGAAAACACTACTTCTTTGATAATTTATGATGAGGTGGGGTAGAGAACTAACATGTTGAGTGAAACACTGAGCCATGTAAATTAATGGTAAATGTGTTCTACTATTAAGAGCTGGAGATGCTTATTTACTTCCATGTTATAATCAGATTCCAATCAGTGACTGGATTCATACAATGCAAAGTAAATGCATGGTTTGTACAGTGTGTGAATGTATCACTGTAGTTTTCAAGCAGTGGTTTATGCTTAAGTCATGCCCTCCCTTTATATTCCAGCAAGTATTCAAGTTGGTCAACAAAATCAAAGGAAACACAATTAACAATATAGATAATAGTGTAATGCCCATAGATAGAATGAAACATAAACTAGGCTTTTATGGATCATTCAGCAAACAGCAGCTAAACAAATTATGGCTTCATGTCAAACCCAGAGCTTTTTTTAAAATAAAATTGAAGGGTGAACATATTTGTAGCTTTTGTGAAATTAAAGAACAATTAGGGAGTTTAACACTGTCTATTTGTCTGATGTAAAAACTCCCTTGGAAAGACATGGTTCTGGATTTATAACAGAATATGCATGTTTTGGTTTATATTCTATTGCTAGAAAAACAAGCCACTGACTTGCCTGTTTGGTGGCGGAAGCTAATGTAACATAAACATTGAAGTTTCGGTTACATTGTATATCTTGTTTGGAAATGCTCCTCCCATATATTCTGGTTTATTCCTGATTTTTAAAAAAACTAATGTATTGGTAATCAGTTGCAATTTAATACTGGATATTCAAATTATCTTTAATATTGTTATATTCTTGACTATTTGTGAAATATCAATGTGTATTTCACACATGTAAATCATGTACTTTTAACTGAAATATAGCTTGCGTTGTAAAGAGAAGCTACATTTTTTCTACACTCAAAGTTTCCTGAGGGAAACCTTATTTGATTACAAAAACTGTCCTTTTCATTGACCAACATTTCACAATCATAAGCCTATTTGGTAACTTTTATGTCCAGAACCTGTTCTATGTCACTGTGTTTTTCATTTACATACTTTCTGAACAACTGCTATCTCTAAAACTATTTGGTATTATTCTGCCTCTCCTTTAAGCTGTCCTTCCTGATCACTAACTTTTATTCTAACAGCTCAGTTCCCAGCATTGCCATCATGAGTCATGTTCCATCTCTGTTGTGGGTGTCCTTTTTTTACTGTCTTTTGCTTCAAAATCAAAGTGAAATCCAATTAATTTCTGGGAGGTTTTTTTTTAAAAAAGGATCTACTGTATTTTCCGGTGTATAAGACGACTGAGTGTATAAGACCCCCAACTTTTCCAGTTAAAATATAGAGTTTGAGCGAGAGAGGGGGGGGGGGAGAGAAAACTTGATGAGTAATATGCCAAACCACATGTGTAAAGGAATAAAATAGAATACCCGTATTTTCCGGCGTATAAGACCACTGGGCGTATAAGACGACCCCCGACTTTTGAGAAGATTTTCAGGGTTTAGAAAGTCATCTTATACGCCGGAAAATACGGTACTTCTCTTGTCGCAATCACCAACCCCCTTTGTTGTTTATACATTTTTCTTTAGTTTTCTGAGATAATATAGCTAAGAAGATCATGGTAAAAACACTTAGGATTGTACATTTACTTCTTTACATTTAAAGAAAGAATGCTTTATTAAATAGCTAAAAATGGGCTATAAAGATGTTGATTTATATTACAGCGTATCTGTAGTCTATCAATATTTACCTTCCCCAGCACTAATATTTTCATAACCCTATCTGCATGACACATAGAAGTTTTCCTAGGCAAGGGCTCTGGGTCTCCTTCCACTTACAGCTCCCAGATCCCTCTCTCCTCAGTTCCTCCTCCTTCCAAATTGGGAGAAATTGCAATAATTTGCTTTGATTGATAGTTCCACTCATCACAAACTTCCCCAAATTTAACATCATTCACAACTGGATGATATGTGTAAGCCTTGAAAGTATTTTTTTTTTCAACTTTTCAAGCTCTGCCACAATCATCATAGTTGATATAATAACTTTCAGTGTTAGTAATACATCTGCATTGGATTTCGCTCAAATACTTTGTTTCTGTTCTCTGGGTTAACAGTATTTCTTTTCTCCTTATAGCTGCCAAGCCATCACCTGAAACTGCTCAAGAAACATATGACACTTCTACCTACAAGAACCTGCAGCACCATGAATATCAACCATTCACTTTTGTGGATTTTGATGTTTTGTTGTCAAAATTCAGGCTGCCTCAGCCATCTTCTGGGAGATTATCTCCAAGACACTGAACTATTTGTGGAAAACAAATAAATTCCGACAAAGTATTATGCTTGTGAGTGTTCTAAATTAATATTAGCATTAATTATTATAATTGCTGATTGTATGACCAATTAATTCTAATAATTAATGATAACTTGATAATTTCCTTAGTTCAAGCTACTGTGTAGTGTCATACCACACTGCTGCTAAATATCTATGTAATCCTGGTTCATAAAATTTATGCAAAGTACAAATTAGTTGATACTGAATGCTGATGAAGTATTTTTAATTAGATTGTGGTGAGTGTATTTGTTTTGCTAAAGATGCAGTTTTGGAAGCCTAGTGCCACTTGCTGAATGATGTTGTTTTATCCTTGAAGTAATATATAATGAATAATGTTATTGTAAAAGATATAAAAGTAATTGGCTTTATGCTTTATACTCAGCCTGATTCTGAGTATGTATGAATGAGGATGCATTGTCTGTGCTAAAAGTCAAGGGAATTGGCATGTAA